CCTCATATATTTAAACTAAAGAAAATGATTTTTATATAATTATTTTATTTTATTTTTTTATACAATTTAATATATTATTAAAATAATTAATTTTTTAAATTTATATTTTATAACTTTTTTATTTTTTTCTTAATTTAAATGTTTGTGATTGAAACTATAAAGTATTTAGTGTTAATGAATCACAATATTTTAATTAAATTTAGATTTATATAATTTTATTTGTATATAATAAAATTAATAAAAAATAATTATAAAAAATGAAAATAAGGTCAATTTACGGGTTAACTCGTAACCCATTAAGGTTAGACTTTTTTAACGCGCAACGCATTTATAATCCAACTCGCATAACTTGTCACTCGAATTGACTCAACCCAAACTCCATCCCGTTTGCCAAGTCTATAGTTAATCCACTTTCGTTGGATATTGATTTGTATTTTCGTAGTGGTAGTATTTATGGTGGCGGTGGTGCATGTGAATAAACGCGCCACCAAGGAAAGTGGGTTTGGATGGAGAGAAGAGCCGCGGGCATTAATGAGGATAGCAGAAGCTGTTGTGAGAAAGCATTGGTCTCATTAAATGCTAACCAAAATGGCTTTGGTTTTATCGCCGGTGGTTTACGTTGGTAGCCCAATAAAACCAAGCCACGTTTTGGGACGGCGTTTGAGGGCCAGGGTCTGACTGGCCTGGCCTGGCCTGGTCTGGTCTGCCGCCTCCCTGTAAAAGGGAAAGAAGACTTGCTGCTCCAGCTCCTGGTGGCTGCTGATACAGTCACATTTTTTCCATAAAGTCTTGATGAGATTTCTAAATATTAAACAAAGTGATAACTTCAGGCATCATAATTAAGAATGGCCATCAACGTTGGTAGCCCAAGAGCGTGGTACCTTTATCTTGCCTTTGATTACTAATGGATATCCACCACCCTCTTCTAAATTTATAACTATAACGTAATGTGATTACCTTATTCAAAAAATATATATATAGGTGGACTCCATTTCAGTTTTCTATAATTAATTATATTTTGTTACTCAAAGGAGTGCAGCTAGCATGGATCCATGGCCTCTCAGTCTCTCTCTCTCATGCATGCAGGGCAGATGCACATACTTACATACGAAGATCCAAGGACCAAGGTGCATACACGTGAGGATATATCACATGGTGTATGGGACTATGGATACAAGTAGAGCAGGACGAGAAGGCAATAAATTTGTAGAAAGTGAAATGCTATCTGAAAGAGGGAGTAGCACAGTTGGCCCTGTAATACATATTAAATTGCATATGTAGCTTTCGAAATTCGAACATTGTGTTTGGACCTTTACTTCTCCTAACTAGCTATCATATATCAGTCCCCCATTATCCAAATGTCTCGCTTCTCCAATGCCTCACAAGTCCTCCATCCACTGTATCCTCTCATCCACATGCTTTTGTTGGTCCACACAACATGGCCTCATGGTATGCATAACATTTTTGTAAAACTTTTTATAATTAAATTAAAGTAAAAATAAACTCTCTTAATTATCAATGAAGTCTTTAAATTTAATTAATTTTCTTGGCGGTTGATGATCATAATATTTTTCAAATTTTTTTCTTTTGAGTTATGAAAGACATGAAAAAAGGATTTTGTCATTAAAAATCCAAAACTTCCTTTTCTGGCAACTCAATTAGTATATGTTAATGGATCAGTTGATAAAGAAAGGAAAACAAGAATAGTGCAAATTAAAACTCCTACTAACTGACTAATAATGCAAACTCATTCGTCATTTCCTGCATGGGAGGCTTGAAAATTAATAATTATTTGTGAAGTAGTTGTATTAATTTTGATTTGATGTGCACCAGTATTAGATAATTAATCATTATCAATCATACTTTTTCCTCAACATCTCCAGAGGGCCCAAACACACCCATTTTCCTCTATAGATCATTCAGCCCCAAAAGTTAGAAATTAACAACAAAACCCTATGCACTCCTTCCACATTTGCATATGTATTATGGGATCAAGAAACATCAAACATATATATACTTTTTTTTAATTGATTCAATAAATTCAAGATAACTTATCCATGACAAAAGTTCAGCAGATGCAGAAGCACTCACATATTGAATTATTTAATGCTTTGATCGCTTATGCTGGTAGAAATTAAGAGGGGAAAACCTTTGGAAGAAGCTTTCGAATTGGATATGATAAAATGAAAAAGAGTTGGTGTGGCATTAAAGACAAGCTTAGAAACTTAAGATTGCAGCATTTTTGGTACAATAATTGTGTAGGTCTATCTTATTATCCAAAGCCAGCCCCTTCTGCTTTCCTTTGCAAATAAATAGCTATCCATTTATTACAAGAAAATGATTTAAGTACAACATTTTTATACTATCTTTTAGTATAATTTTATGTTTCATTTAAATTATTAACTTTTTTATTGAGTGCATATATTCATCTAATGATACGTGAAAGTTGTATAAAAAAATAATACAAAAAAATTATTCCTATATCACTGCCCTTTATAACATATATATGGTCTTCTTTCATCCTCTCTATTTTCCTTTCTAAATGAGGAAAATAAGTAGAAATGAGGAAAATAAGTAGGAATTAAAGAAAATTAAGATGTTCTGATTATTAGAATATTATGAAAGATAATGAAACAATATCTAAGGAAGATTTATTAAGGATATTCAAACAATGTCAAAGAGAATTTTAACATTTTAAATATTACGATATCTTGATTTTTACATTTCTCTGCATGGTATTATGAATTCTAATGAACTTTTCAGGTATGGAGGGAGATGAATTTTGAAAAAACCATCAATTGAAGTAATCCAAGTGCATTTTGAATTCTGGTGTTATGCGTTGCCGGAAACATGCAGGAGCGTTTTCCATCTTGGGCCTTTGGTTGGCGGTCCAGATAGTGAAGCCCAAGTCCAAAAACTCACAAAAAACTGGAGCCCAGTTTTTGGATAACCCATTTCATTTAACCGCCAAATGGACAGTCAAAGATTGGTCAAACTCAAAGCCCTCGAATATTCCACAATCTCTGTCCGAAAATTCCAATCCCGCAAATTCCAGCATTAACGGAGGTCATGTCTGTAAAACCACAATCCTAAATCTTCGGAATTACTCAAAAACCTCAATTCCTAACCGTTGGATCTTCCATGATGACCGTTCAACGGCCCACAATCCACGTTTGACTGAATGATTGGGGTTTGATCCACATTTGACCGCCGAAAATCAAATCATAAAAACAGGAGACACACCTGGAGCTGGAAGCATTAATGGCGGAAATTTTCTAGGCCTTTGTTTTTTTGTTTCCACGGTTTTGAGATTGAGAAAGAAAGTCTCGATCTTTTTTTTTTAGTTTGTTTGTTTGAGCATCTCTGATATTTCCCTTTTTTTGAGGGGAAAATTTTCGGGTGGTTTCTCCATATTTCTGTTCCTTCCGGTTGCTGAATTATACGCGGGAGAGAGGGAGGGAGGGAGGGAAAGGGTCCCTCTCTCTTCTCGCAAGGGCGGAATTGGTCTGTTTGCATTTGAAGAAAGTAGGGGTTAGTTCGGTGAAAGGAGAAATCATGAATGTGATGCGTCGCCTCAAGAGCATTGCTTCAGGTCGCACCTCTGTTTCTTCCGATCCTGTAAGTCTTCCTTCCTTTGAATCCTTTCCTTTTATGTTTTCCTGAAACTTCTTCACATCGGAAGAAAAAAAAAATTTATAATTTGCTGTGTATCAAACACCATTGTCTGAGATAGAATCAATTCGCCAATTGAAATTATCTCGTCGCAATGCTGTTATAATAAAGTTCAATTTTTTATTTTTTTCTTAATGTATAGGTTAAGGGTGCATTTATTGCACCCTTAACCTATACAGCGGACAGGGTAGACAATTTTCCTTTGGCTTTTTTTCACGCCTTAACTTTCTTTGGAACATAATTTGATTTATTTTTATGTAGGGTGGAGATGCTAGCACAAAGAGAGCAAAGGTTGATCAAGATACTGAATGGAAGATACATGGAGAATCAAATTTAGTTGAGAGGAATGCCACTGGGTTAGAGCAACAAATGGCTTCTGCATCACTGGGGCATGTTGCCAGTAAATCAGGCGTTGATCAGCTTCCTAAGGAAATATGTGGAATGAGGATTAGAGATGGGAAAACTTCTAACCATGGTGATAAGGTAAAAATAAATGGAAACTATATGCGTTCACTTTGCCCCATCCCAGTAAACAGCATCATAACGCTGGTGCAGTCATCCTTTAAGGGTTCATTAGAATCATTCTATATCTAGAAGCGACATTGACTAGCAGATAAAAAAGAAAAAAGAAAAAAGAAGTGACATTTACTAATCTGAATATCTTATGACTGCCAAAACTAAATGACTCTAGGTTCGGACATCCTGAAGATTTGCGAGTTTCTAGATGATACTGTTACTTCAATATTGTTTTGTGGGTTTATTTTTGTCTAGCTTCCTTAGCAGTTGCTAACATTGCTGTTTCTGACTTTGCATTGTACAGGAGGTGGAAGCTACTGTTATCAGTGGTAATGGAACAGAGACAGGTCAGATAATTACAACTGCTATTGGTGGTCGAATTGGACAACCAAAACAGGTGATCGCTTTCCCTTGGTTGATTTTTTCGGCATGTCTGGATGTCCTTGACCGTTGTTCCTGTCAATGTTTTTTGTAGTAATTTTAACATTGGAGTTACATTTGGCTAGCTTTTGATTGATTTGAGCTATTTTATTTTTTCCGCTTATCTTCTTCCCATAAACCTCATTCATTTTGGATTGGAGGTTTTTTTTTTTTTTTTCTGAAGCAGCATGTTCTCTACCAAGATATTTAATGTATTTAGAACCTTGGCCTACTTATGTTTTGTTTAATTTTCACATCATTACACCACTTTGGGCCACAGGTGCAGCTGTGATAATCTCCTAATAATTTCTTTTCACTTGTGTCCAGAGCATCTCATATATGGCGGAGCGTGTGGTTGGTACTGGTTCGTTTGGTGTTGTCTTTCAGGTGCCTGAATTTGATTAGCACATGGCTATATATTAAGATTGAGATTTTGTAATGCTAATGTTTGAGTTTTTTAATATTGTACTTGTCTATTTGGATTATCATTTCCTTTTTATTTGGCAATAGGCTAAGTGCCTGGAAACAGGTGAATCAGTAGCAATAAAGAAGGTGTTGCAGGATAAAAGATACAAGAACAGAGAACTCCAGATTATGCGTTTACTTGACCATCCTAATGTCGTTCAGTTGAAACACTGTTTCTTTTCAACCAGTGAAAAAGATGAGCTGTATCTTAACCTTGTCCTGGAGTATGTATCAGAGACTGTATATCGAGTTTCAAAGCACCATGGCAGAATGAATCAGCATACACCCATTGTTTATGTGCAGCTGTATACATACCAGGTGAACCTTAATTCAGCAGTGGGTTGTAAATTTCCTGATTGGTTTGGCATAGAAATTGTTAGTGTTTTCTTACTTCTTGGATTTTGTGGTTAATTATGTTGCTTTTATGATGTAGATTTGCCGTGCTCTAAATTACTTACATAACGTTGTTGGGGTATGCCACAGAGACATCAAACCGCAGAATTTACTGGTAAGATTATTATTATTATTATTTTGCACTTGTGGTAACAGTTGGGGTTCTTTAGTTTAAAAGTTTGTCAGCATTAAAACGTGTTGAACTTGATCTCATGATGCATTTTGTAGGTCAATCCTCACACTCACCAGCTGAAGATCTGTGACTTTGGTAGTGCAAAGATGTTGGTAGGTTTAATATGTTTAATAATACGGAAGTTTTGGAAGTATTTCAGTGATATGTGTGAAAACTAATGAGATTTTACCCTGCATGAATAGCTGCCAGGTGAACCCAACATATCTTATATATGCTCACGATATTATAGGGCTCCAGAACTTATATTTGGGGCCACGGAGTACACAACTGCTATTGATATGTGGTCTGCTGGTTGTGTCATGGCTGAGCTTCTTCTTGGTCAGGTAGGGATGTAAACACAATCTTTTATTTTTGATGAATTATTTTCCCCAAGTTTTATTCTTTATATTTAAATCTCGGGTTTTCTACTGTTTATTTTAGAGTAAGATATGCACATCCATTTCTAATGCCCATTTGGTGTTACATCATTTACAGCCGCTCTTTCCTGGTGAAAGTGGTGTTGATCAGCTGGTGGAAATCATAAAGGTTTTCTATCTAGTTTCTCTATATTTTTCATATTATGATTTCCCTTTTCTATATTTTTTTACCCATTTCACTGTATTCTGTCAGATTTTGGGAACACCAACTAGAGAAGAAATCAAATGCATGAATCCTAATTACACTGAATTTAAGTTTCCTCAGATCAAAGCTCACCCATGGCACAAGGTATGTCAATATATGTATTTCTTTTGGGTTTTATCTTTTGAATATTTCTCAACTAGATTGTGTTGCGGTATTTCTTAACAGCAGAGTTCTTACTTAAGTTGTAATTTTCAGATATTTCTAAGGAAAATGCCCCCTGAAGCTGTAGACCTCGTGTCAAGGCTGCTTCAGTATTCGCCAAACTTACGTTGCACCGCTGTAAGAAGATAACATTAGATGTGCTTAATTATATTCTAAGCATGATTTTTCTCTCATGCACATCGTTGTATATTTGAAACATGGCATGGTAGCTCTAATAATCTGTCTCCTATCCTGTGTTAGTTGGAGGCATGTGCACACCCTTTCTTTGATGATTTGAGAAAGCCAAATGCTTGCTTGCCTGGTGGGCGACCCCTACCTCCTTTGTTCAACTTCACAGAACAAGGTATGCTGATCTACCTGACTCTTGTAAAAATTTCCTTATCTGCTGCAGTCACTCACGCCAATGGTTCTACAGAGCTATCAGGCGCATCTGCTGAACTATGTCAACGACTCGTCCCAGAACATGTGAGGAGATGAACTCAAACTCGAGCTAATTGGAGGAGATTGTGACATCTTTTGGTAATGTGAATGGTTTTGGATGTTTAGTTGCCTGGATAAGCTGCCCTGCCCCACCTTACAAGTTCAGAGGAGACCTTCCTCCCTTGGGAATGGTTTCGTGACAATAGGGGAAAGAACCTGGTAATCTGATAAGGAGACTTAGGTGGATGGAATATGGATGGCTAGGCACTGAGGTTGTAACATTTCTTTTCATGTGCAATATGATGTGTTATGACCTCAACTATGAGAAAAATGAGTAGTTATATACGATTATGTTGTCATTTTAGTTAATGGGCATTCAATGTTAAAATTGTCTGAATGGGATCTCAACTAGATGAAATAGATTCCCTTCCAGTGTATAATTTTCCTCAAAATTTCAAGAGTTAAAAGGTATTCAAGAAGTTTCAAACTTTACAAGAAACCGCCTTTGATGCTCAAATTCATGATGTTCTTCCTTTATCAAAGGGTGAAGAGAGCAACTGAAACACCATGATGTAATTACTCAATTGGAAGGTGATGATTGCATCATATGTTAAAGAACTGCATTTTCTCAAACTAAAACGGAAATAAAAAAGAAATATAGATTTAAAGTTAACCATCCTCTCAAAAACATTTTATTAAAGGAAAAATTTCACAAAAATGTGAGACTAGATAACTCAGTTTTTGGCTTTCCATCCACCATTCTTAAGGGGACACTATGGAAGCCTTCATGCATCCCTAATCATAATAATTTGAGTTTTAATTTTTTAGTACATCAAAATTAGCTCCTTGGCATCGTCTCATTCATTGGTTTTATAAGATGAGGGTTACACCATATGCCTTGCACCATTTGGGGCATACATCAAGCCGTACCTAAAGTTTTGTTCCGCCGTCCACGACCGCGAACAAATTGTTTAAAGCAATGGAAAAACACATCCGCATGCCTACCGAATTGCAGAAGGTGCAGCGAGGGAAGTTCGTCCTTTACAATTTGAATTCTGAACACATTGACCTTCTACACCGCAATAAGCAAAATACTCCCTTCCTACTAGACCATAAATGTGGACGCCTTTTCTTCGTTCTGCCTCCCAGTGCTGACAAAATTCATGCAGTTACTAGGTTTTTTCTACACCAGACACCATGATTCGAAACATTGAAGAAAAGAAAACAAAAATTGATTATCCTGACCTTGAGGTGCTGCTGCAGGAAGAAGAAAAGGAAGTGCAAAAGCTTTATAGGTAACCATCTTTGTTTCATCCTTCGGAGGAAAACTAGATAGGAAATATAGTAGTTAAAGACATTTCTACCAATAGTCTCCGCATGAACATTTTCCTTCTCTGAAATGATGAAAACAATTGGAATCCCTCAAGATAATGTGTCGTTGAAAAACTCTAGATATATACTTCATGGCAGTATGACAATCCCCACAAACCCGGAGATTCTTAAAAATCCGGATTGGTGCTCCAGGTGGCACAGTAAGGAGTGCAAAAGCCAAGGCCAATTTCTCACTGTGATAAGCCAGACTAAGCTCCTTCCCCTTTTCATCTGTGTCATGGAGAGCAAAACTGATATCAGGTACATAACCAGCTTCCTTGATCAATGGAATGATCTCATCAATCTTGGCATATATCTCTGCTGCTTTTAGATGGCTTCTATCTTCAGACATAAATGTGTGCACTGTGCTGTTTGTCTCCATCCAGCTACATCCAGGCTCCTTACTTATCCCTCTTGATTTCATTAATCTTCGAATCTTTGCCACATCTTCCCATTTATTAGCTGCAGAATACATATTGGATAACAGGATATAAGGCACAGCATTCATGGGCTCCAATTCAAAAAGGTTCTTTGCTGCTCTCACGGCCAGTTCCAAGTTACCATGAACTCTACATGCAGCAAGAAAAGACTTCCAAATAGCTGCATCTGGTTGCAAAACCATTTGATTTAACAATTTCTCAGCTTCAGCAAGTCTCCCTGAGCGCCCCAAGAGGTCAATCATACACGCATAGTGCTCAGGACCTGGTTTTATTCCATAAACCTTATCCATTGATTCAAAGTAGGAGCAGCCACTTTCTGAAAGACCAGCATGACTGCAGGCAAATAGTAAGCCTATGAAAGTAACATAGTCTGGTTTTGTCCCACCAGCAATCATCTCATCATAGATCTGTATAGAGTCTCTTCCCTTACCATTCTGAGCGTAACCAACTATTAAAGCAGTCCAAGTGATCACATTTCTGACTTGCATAGAGTCAAATACTTGTCTTGCATGTTCTATACACCCACACTTGGCATACATTGATAGAAGGGAATTATCAACTGATAGGGATGATTGGAGGCCAGACTTAATGAAGTTTGCATGGACTTGCTGTCCAAATTCCCACACTGTCAGTTCAGCGCATGCACTCAAAATACTGGCAACAATGACATGATCAGGATAAATGCCTGCAGTTCGCATGCCACAAAATAACTTAAGAGCTTCTTCATAACTGCCATTGCATGCATATCCAGTGACCAGAGAGGTCCATGTGACCACATCCTTTTCTGGCATGTGATTAAACACCTGTGTGGCACAATCTGAGCTCCCTTGTTTTGCATACATGTCAACAAGAGCATTGTTCACTAGCTTATAATCCTCAAATCCGGTTTTAATAATCAAACAGTGGATTGACCTTGCATTTCTCATATCCTTCATGGATGCAAAACAGTTTAAAACTGACGGATAAGTGAATTCATCCAACTTCATATCTCTTTGGTGCATTTTCTGAAACACAGCCAGAGCTTCCTCTTCACAGCCCTGCCGCACACACCCAACTATCATGGAGTTCCAAGAAACCACATCGTCAACCTCCATATTCTCCAAGACCATCCAGGCACTATTCAAATCACTGCATTTTGCATACATGTCAACCAATGCGCTCTTAACATAGACATTAGCTTCAAAACCACTCCTGACTATGCAGCCATGCACCTGGACCCCAAAACTATCAGCTGCAACTGCAGCACAAGCTGTTAACACGCTGGGAAAAGTAAACTGATTACACTCAACTCCCTCAGTCCTCATGTCTTGAAAACATTCAATTGCTTTATACCCATTCCCATTCTGAGAATATCCTGCAACCATTGCAGACCACATCACATGATTTTTTCTCTCAGGCATCATGTTGAACAGATACTCAGCCTCCAAAATGCACATGCACTTTGCATACATATCAACAAGACCAGTGACAACATATACATTTAAGTCAAACTGGGTCTTTACCGCATATCCATGAATCTGCTGTCCTCTTCGAAGCATAGTCAACAAGGAACACAACCTTAAAAGACTCCCCATCGTGTACTGATTTGGTTTTCGTCCCTGAAACTGCATTTCCCAGAACAACTCAAAAGCTTCAATTTTCAACCCACATTGACAACACCCAGATATGAGTGAATTCCAAGTGATAGAACTCTTAACCGGGACTTGACCAAAAAGCTTTCTTGCTTCAGCTAATCTCCCAGAATTTGCATAAGCAGCCACCATGGTGTTCCAGGAGAACTCATCTCGCTCAGGCATCTCGTCAAACAATTGGCGGGCTTCATAAATCCTACCCGATTTTGACAAAGCGTTCAAAACCCGATTCAAATTAAACTTCTCCTGAACAAAGTTGGGAACTTTCCGGACAAAACAAGCTGATTGCACATTCCTGTACCGGAAATTTAACTTGCGAGGAAACTTGAGAATTCTTGAATTCGACTTGAACATTACCGATCCCTTTTTTTTACTTTTCCCGCCGCTTGAGTTCCAAATAAATCAAATCATCTCAAATTTAGAATTGCGACAATAAAACACCGATCCTTTCGTGTCCTCTCTGTAGCTCATGATTTTGATTTGAAGCTTCTCCGCGGAAGATGCAGGGGGCAAGAAAACGCGGGAAATTCACCGGACAGGACAGGACAGAACAGGACGGGACAGGAAGGTTGGGTCTCTCCAGGGTCCAACCACCCGAGACCCGACTTTTCGGAGACGATGTTAAATGTACCGTATTAGTCCTAATTGTTTTAGGATTTTTCTATTCTTTTTTTTAGTGTAACATAAGGATATAATAAATATATTATTTTATAATAAATTTTTATTTAAAATATAAATATTAATTTTAATTAATTATTCATTTATTAATGATATTAAAATATATATTAATTTTTATTAAAAAATATGTGTTAATTTTTATAATTTATAATATAAATTAATTATAAAAAATATATTTATTACACATGTATATCATCAAAACACATGATAGACAACCCAAAGCACTTTTAAGGTTTGGTGACCAACTACTTGCATTTGAAGGGCTCATAATTGATGTATTTTTTTATCATTAAATTGTATAAAAAAAATTTTAATTTTACTTGA